CTTTTGGTGGAGTTCTTGGAGTCTTCTATATAGAGTATCATGTCATCTGCAAATAATGACAATTTGACTTCTTCATTTCCTATCTTTGTTCCTTTTCTTTCTCTAATGTTTCTCTAATGTCTAATGTTTCCAAAACTATATTGAACAGGAGTGGTGATAGTGGACATGCTTGTCTTGTTCCTGATTTCAATGTGAAGGATTTGTTTTTGACCATTTAGTATGATATTGGCTGGTTTTTCATAGATGAGTTTTATGAGATTGAGGTAGAGACTGTCTATTCCAATTTTTTGTAGGGTTTTTATCATAAATGCATGTTGGATTTTGTCAATTGCTTTTTCTGTGTCTATGGAGATAATCATATGGTTTTTGTCCTTGGCTCTATTGATATAGCGTATTACATTGATTGATTTGCATATGTTGAACTTGGTCAGGGTGTATGATCTACCTGAGGATCTTCTGCATTCTATTTGCCCGTGTCTTGTTAAGGACTTTTGCATCTATGTTCGTTAGTGAGATTGGCCTACAGTTCTCTTTTTTGGTTGGGTGTTCCTCTGCTTTGGGGATCAAGGTGATGCTTGCTTCCAGGAATGATTTCAGGAATATTGCTTCCCTTTCAATTTCACTGAAGAGCTTAAACAGTAGTGGCAGTAGTTCCTCTCTAAATGTGTTGTAGAATTCAGCAGTGAAGCCATCAGGGCCTGGGCTTTTCTTAGTTGGTAAGTTTTTAATTATGTTTTCAATTTCATTGATTAATATTGCAATGTTTAGAATTTTTAAGTCTTCGTTCAACTTTGGTAATTCATAGGTGTCATGGAATCTGTCCATTTTTCTGTGTTTTCCATCTTATTGGTGTATATGTTATCGAAGTAGGTATTGATGGTCCTCTGGATTTCTGCTGGGTCTGTTGTAATTTCATCGTTTTCATTCCTAATGGCTTGGATTTGGACCTTTTCTTTCCTTTTTCTGGTAAGGTTGGCTGAGAGTTTGTCAATTTTGTTGATTCTTTCGATGAACCAACTCTTGGCTTCATTGTTTGTATCATTCTCTTAGTCTGCATTGAATTAATATCTACTCGGATCTTTATAATTTCCTCCCTTGTATGAGCTCTCAGTTTGTCCTGCTCTTTTTCTAGAAGCTTGAGGTTCAGCATCAGGTTGTTTAATTGGACTTGCTCTGTTTTCCTAATATGCGTATTCACTGCTATGAATTTCCCTCATAAGTCTGCTTTCATTGCATCCCATAGAGTCCGATGTTGTATTGTCATTGTCATTTAATTGAAGGAACTGTCTGATTTCTTCATTTCCTCTGTGACCCATTGATTATTCAGAAGTGTGTTGTTCAATTTCCACGTGTTTATGAAGTTTTTGTGGTTTCTTTTGCTATTGATCTCCAATTTTATCACACTATGGTCTGATAATATACAGGGGATGACTTCAATTCTTTTGCACTTAAACATGTTCTATGAACGAGTATGTGGTCTATTTTGGAGAACTACCTGTGTGCACCTGAAAAGAATGTTTATTCTGATTTTGTGAGTTGGAACACTCTGTAAACATCTGTTAAGCTCATTTGTTCGAGTGTGAGTTCCAGTACTTCATTGCTTATTTTTTGTGTAGTTGATCTATTTGGGACAGTGGGGTATTGAGGTCCCCCACTACTATTGTATTAGTACATATATGACTTTTCACGTCTGTTGTTTTATATAGTTGGGTGCACTAGTGTTTGGTGCACATGTGTTTATGATTGTCATCTCTTCCTCTTGGATTCTTCCCTTTACAAGGATGTAGTGTCCTTCTTTGTCTCTCTTAATCAGTGTTGGTTTGAAATCCACTTGATGTGTAAAGAGGATAGCAATTCCTGCTTTTTTTTCGGGTTCCCATTGTATGGAGTATTATTTTCCACCTTTTAACTTTCAGTCTATGAGTTTCTTTTTGAATAAAGTGTTTCTTGTATGCAGCATATTGTTGGATCTTGCTTCTTGACCCATTCTGTCAGTCTATTTCTTTTGATTGTGAATTGAGACCATTAACATTGATGATTATTAACTGATACGTATTGACTTCTCATTGTCATGACTTTTTGTTGGGTTCTCCCCCTTTGCATTTAATTTCTTGTTGTCCCTGATGGATTCATTCTGCTGGGCTTCCTGGGGCTGTGATCTGTTTTTTCCTAGGATACTGTTTAAAATTTTTTGGAGTGCTAGTTTGGTATTCATGAAGTTCCTAAGGTGCTCTTTGTCACGAAAGTGTCTCATTTCCCCATCAATTTTGAAAGATAGTTTTGCAGGGTACATCAAAACTACAGTTGGAGGCTGTTTTCCTTTAGGGTTTAGAATACATAACTCCAATCTCTTCTTGCCTTGAGGGTTTGCATTGAGAAGTCTATGATTCTGATGGGCTTTCCTTTGTATGTGATTGGTTTCTTTTCTCTAACTGCTTATAGTATTTTGCTCTTATGTTTGGTTTCTGGAATCTTAACTATTATATGCCTATATGTAATTTTTTTTAATTAAGGCTAGTTTGAGTCTTATATGCCCTGCTTATCTGTATATCAAGTTCTTTTCCCTTCCTTGGGAAGTTTTCTGCCATCACTTCTGTGATCAGTTTTTTTTATTTCATCTGCACTCTCTCCTGTTTCTTCATTGACTCCTATCAGTCTTATGTTATTCTTCTTTGCATCTTTGAGCATCTGCTAGATTGATTTCTTGTGGTCCCTTACAATTTTAAAGCAATTTTTCTTTTCCTGATCACTAATTGCCATCTTATCTTCTATATCTGAAATTCTATCCTTGCATTGGCTCATTCTGCTGCATAAGCTTTCAGTGGAGTTTATATCCTGGAAATCTGCTTACATCTATTTTATGTAGTCCATGTTTCCTCTGTTAGGATTCCATCGTGTTCCTCAGCTCTTTTTTTTATTATTTGTCCTGTCTAGATTTATTAATCATGTTTTGTACTATAAGCACAATCTCTGCTGTTATCTGAGAAATTATTTCTGATTTCATTTTTTCCTGGTCCTCTTTCACTGCCAGTTCAAGGAGTCCAGGTGGTTGAGTATCATGTTGTTCCATCTCGTTTCCCTTTGGGCTTGCCTTAGATGACCTAGAAGTCCGGTTTTGAGACTTGTCTTCTCATTTCAACAGATGCAGCCTGCTGTGCTTGTGTTGAGTTTTTGCTCACTCAGTGGTCTTCAATTCTCAATAAGGCATGGAGCAGCCTCTAGTCTGCTGTTCCCAAGTATACCAATTCCTGGGTTCAGAGCAGTGACTTTCTGGATCCCTGAGCTTACCTGTTATGTGGGTGGACTTCTGCCTGGGGCCTGTGCACACTTGGGATGGTATCTGGGCATGGCTCTTATTGGGGCCCCTATGTAGGTGTTGTCTGGAAGGGCCTTTGGCTGGGGGCTGTGGAATCCAGTTCCTGTTGTCTATGCAGGCTTCTAGCTAGGGTCTCCCCACACTTATTAATGGTATGGGGGTGAGCCTCTGATTGTTGCTTGTGTGCCTGTGTAGCTCTTTTTCAGGCAGGCTCTTGGCCATGGCTGATGGTATGGTGGGCCTCTGGCTGAAGCTTGTGCCGCCTGTGCAGTTTTTCTCTAGGTGGGCCTTGGGCTTGGGTGGGTGTGCCCAAGCCTCTAGAGTCAGGGCGGAGCCCTGGCTGGGGGGGAATCCACCTACAGTGTGCCACTCTGGTCCACACAGCTGCTCCCCAGGATCTGTGCGCTCTTATGGATGGAATGGTGGGCCTCTGGCTGAAGCTTGTGCACCTGTTTAGCTCTTTTCTGGGTGGTTCAATAACCCATTTTTTATGAAAAGCCCTAAAAGAGCCAGAAGTCTTTAAGGGTAAATACACAAATAAATACATTGATATGAACTTTATTTTTATTGAAGCAGCTGCAAGTACGTCAACTAGTTATTAAAAACAGATTAACAGGCAGAGGGACAAACAGGAAAACATACATTATATATAATATAATTACATTAAATCACATTTCACTCTTAAGCTACCTTACCATGCTGAATTATAATAATCATTTTCTTGATTGTAGGTTTATAATCACAGTCAGAATTTTCCCTAGGGGATATCAGCATTCTGTTTTTCTTATGTAAGTCATAAGAGTACTGTGGTACCTTGGTTCATGAACTTAATTTGTTCTACTATTCTGGGGGAGATGGCCACAGTCATCTGTCATGGGATGTGGAGTTTGCAAATGGAAGCAAAATCTTGTCAAACACTTCTGTGTCTGTGAACTGAGGTACCACTGTTTTTCTTTTTAATACTTTAAGCTACTCTGATTATGTTTTTCTTGTTAGTCAACACTATAGACTTAAAAATAATAATAGAGGGGGAAAGAGAGAAGGGCTATAGATTGCTAGATGGAATCTGTTCATCTCCATCATTATAAAACCAAGTTTGAAGTCTCTTTACTCTTCAACTTACATTTAGAGGAACACAGGAAAAAATCATCCTTTTATAATTTTCCACCTTAAGTTGGTCCCAAGCTCATAAAATGTAAACTAAAGGGGAAGTTTTTTCTAGACAGATAGTTACCCATAATCATTTAAGATGTACTACATGCCTTTAACATCTTCTTTGTGTACTTTTGAAAAGAAATACAGAGAGGAAACAAAAACAAAACATCATCATCATCATCAACAACAACAACAACAACAACAACAAAAGACAGAATCCCAGGGTTAGATTTCCCAAATGCAAGTGCCTTACTTCCCAAGGTCAGAACTTCTACTTGCTGTACAGTGTTGGTTTTCCAGTCTAATAGCTTTTCAACATTCACTTTTGAGTCTCATGGGAAATTTTATTCAGGCTTAAGATGTAGTTCGAGAATGAACAGTGTTAGCATCAACTGTACTCAAGACAAAAGAGGCTGGAGTTAATCTCTGGAAACAACAGGGAAAAATAAGAAATACAGAGCATAATAGGATAAACATGCATAATTAGGTCAAGGTCAAAGTTAATCCAATCCACGAAGGTTTCTTCTGAGAGTAAACAGAGGAAGGGATGATTTTACTGAGACCCATAACCATAGTAGTAAGGTTCATCAGGGCGGAATCCATAAGCTGTGGCAGGGCGTCCAAGAATACCAACTGGTTGGGCAAAGCCATCTATCCCAAGGCTGAAAGAGAAAAAAGCAATATGCTGTGTTTTTAATCACAAATCTATAATGTAGGTCAAATAAGAGGCTCAGAATTTTACACCTCCAAGATTCTCTTTCTGGCACTGATAGTGATTTATAGGAATATCAGCCTTTTTTCTTCCCTAAATTAATGAAGTCATTAAAATGTATATAAAATATTTACTTCTCGCAAGATGTATGTTAAAAATGTCAGAAATTGGTTATCAGTTTACTATTCAAAACAAAGAATCAGGTCAAAAAAGTTTCATTTAATGCTCTAATGACAGAATATGAAAAGATTTTGTATCAAAGCAATTATCAATAATACACTGCTAGGGAATGATAAATTTGACAGCTAGGTTTGATCTCCAGATCCTTCTGTGCAAAACATTGCTATATATAAATTCTAGTTCAGCTTATTCTGTGGAAATAATGGAAACACAAAAATAACCTTCAGAGTTGTAAAGATAATTGAAGCATTGGTATACTTTATTTCTTTAAAAATTGATTATTTAGAAGAAATGTTTTGCAAAGCACTTTTCAAAAAACAAGGAATTATCGCACACTTAGAAAAATGACAAAATATTTATTTTTCTAGGCAATTATGACAGCAATAACATGCTCATGCATAGCTCATGCAGTGAATGCTACTGAGCTTGATTTTCAACTGAGAAGCCATCCATAATGTAGAAATATAAGCTGTGAACAAAATAAATATATTTAAGTGATTTAAGATTTGAAAGGGTACTAGATGGAGATTTTTCACTAGAAAAAAAAATTCTCAGTATGTTTAAAATATATATTCACATTGGCACTAATTTCCCCTCACACTCAAAGTGAGATTAAGTTGAAAGAATTTAGAGTATTAAAATTTAACTTTTAAAATAATGTGTGCATGTGCATGTTTATTAGGATGGAGCTAAGGAATAATATAAGATGTACTGGTCCTGTGAATCAGCTTCTCAGGGGAACAGAATTTCTGAACTATAAGTGTCAGGTTATTTGTACTGAGTGAACCTAGGGGGGAAAATCAAGCTTTTAGGGCATATATATGTGTGTGTGTGTGTGTGTGTGTGTATATATATATGTACATATATATATGTATATATGTGTATATATATGTGTGTGTGTATATTTATATATACACATATCCATAGTTTCTCTTAAAGTTGAAATATTTATATTCTGTATTTTATTTTAAAATTGTAAAATATAAGCACTCTTTCCTACTTTGATATCATGGGAAGACAATAAATTTTGAAATGCTAATATTCTAGAGGTAGCTTAAAAATGTTTCTGAAAGTAATAGAGCAGTGAACTGTTGTTCACTGATAAGATACAATGGCATCAGTTTAAAATTAGATGAAAAGTTGGCTGCAGAAAACTTTTAGCACTAAGGCTAACAAAGTATTCATGTATCTAAACAACTCAAGTATATAAGGGTTGATTGTATAGCTTGTGGATTTCAACCCATTCCTTATTCATCTACTTATTACACCTGCCTTTTGCACCTCCTCTGAGGTTGCAAGCAGAAGTCTTAGATGAAATTCACATGTTCTCAATCTAGAGGCTGTGGTGGGACCTCTTTCAAGAATTTGGAAATAAGAGGCACATAGCAGATCAGTGAAGGAATATGTAAAGGCACCTTCAAAGCAGAATGTATTTTTAGCAATCCCACTGTATTAGACTTAAAGATGATTCTCAGAAGAGAGTGAGCCGGCCATGTGGGCACTGACCAAGGAGCTTCTCAGCTACAGGGCTGGTGGTAACAAACTAAGCAGTTCCTCGGGACATGGTGACCCATACCCTGACTTTTCTGTCAGGCTTATTCTCAGTGAGGAAGAGTATTCAACAGATTCTCAGAGATTGAGGCCATTCTACATTGAAATTGTACAATTTTTCTTTTTTTTTATTTCTATGACTAAAAGGCAAATCCTCCCCTCGATACTGGGGACTGAACCCAGGGGCTTCACACTGAGCTATAACCCCATCCCTTTTTAAAATTTTTAATGTTGAGACAGGGTCTCACCAAGTTGCTAAATTACCCAGGCTGGGCTTAAACTTGCAGTCCTCTTGCCCTAGCCTCCCAGAATGCTGGGATTACAAGCAGGTGCCACCACACCTAACTAGCAAACTTCTTTTTATGTTTTACTATTTGCCAATGGAGTAAATAATACTTATTACCTGATCTATCAGATGGCTATACTTTTCAGTAGAAGTTGACAAATGGTTAATTTTGTTTTTAAACGTCAGTCACGTTGTTGACAAAAATCTAAAGCTCCAAGTCAATGAATGTAAAAATCAAACCTTGAGCACTAATGAGTTTTTGAGTATCTGAACCTGCAAGTCTCAGGTCTTGAACATGATAATTTCAGGCTGCTGTGGTGAAGTTCCATTTATATAGTTAACACATCACCCAGATTACAGTTAATAGGATTATCACTTTTTGAAGTTGGGGAAATTTTTCAAGGGAGAATATTTGAAACTGACTTAAAATAAGCTTTTCTGGGGAATTATCCATCATGAATCACTGACAAATTTGCTATGTGAAGAATACTTAAGACATGATGTCTAGTTTGGATGGTAAATGGACAGATATTAGGTCCTTTTGTATTATGAAAGATCAATCGTATCTGTAAATTAACAGCTTATTAAATCCACTCTGAAACAATCGTTCTCTTCTTTAATCTTATTTGGGTCTTTTTAATACAATGGGGGAGTTGGGCTTTCCAGGATGCTTAAACAAGAAGACAGCTGCTCTTTTGGAACATGTGGACATGTATCCTACCTCCTCCCTTGGGATAAGGATGCAGCCTTGTTAATATAGAATCTGGTTCAAAACCAAGAGTCTAATAGCAAGTTTTTCTTTAAATAGGAGACAGGTTCTTTATGTAAATTCTTCTGGAAAGAACAGAAACCATGAACAGAGTCAGCTGGGCATGGTGGTGTACATCTATAATACCAGCACTGTGGGAGCTTGAAACAGTAGAATTGCAAGTTTGAGCCCAGCCTGAGCAACTTAGCAAGAATATGTATACATGATTATGTATATGTATATATATACTTACATATATGTAAAATTTAAAAAATGGATTAGGAAGTATGAAGGCCCTGGGTTCAATCCCTAGTACTGGGAAAAAAACAAGAAGACAGTGCCAGAGGAAAAATTGTGCTTTCCTAATCTAAAAAGACTTGATTTGGATTAAGGGACACTAAGAACCAAGGGAATTAAATCTGTGACATGGCTTTGCCCTGTGTGACCATTTTGCTTCATAAGTTTGTGTATTTGGGTATGTATATTGGGATTTAACTCCTTTCTGCATTACAGGCATTGCTATTTGTACAAATTTTCTTACTGCCATTCCTACCCCACATAAAAAGTTGCATAAGCTGCTGCTTTTTTGTTTTTAAAGGACTCGTTAGTATTTTTATTCGTTTTGTTTTGGTTTTTGGTACTGGGGATTAAACTTGGGTCCTTGTGCTTATGCAGCAGGTGGTGAAACCACTGAGCTAAATCCCTGGCCCAGTACTTTTATTATTAAAGGTCAGTGAACATATTTTAGATTTTTGAATTACCCAGATTTAGTACTTTTTTTAGTCCAAAGAAAATATTGTGACAAGATAACTAGAAATAGTTAGGCCAAGAAATCAATCTATTATTAAATTTTATGTCCCAAGAACAATGATTTTCTAGACCTAGAAAGGAAAATGAAAATTAGCTAAAGTGAAAAATTATTTTAAAAATCCAACAATATAAAACCACACTAATTTTTAAATTTTACAAATCTACAAATGAAACTGACACACAGGAAGCAGAACACTGAATTTTCTCCAATGAAAATTTTTTTCTAAGACTTTAACCACATTCTTAACAGTGTTCATGAGATGATTCAGAGGGGCAAAAGAAATGTGGTGATGACAAGTGACACTTCACATGCAGCGCATCACAGGTAAACGGCAGCCAGCACGGCATCCCAGACACTCATTACATTTCTTTGCCAGAGTTGACATTCCTGGAGTGAGGGAAGAAACTTACCTACCTCTGGCTGTTTGTGAGGCTTAATTAGTGCATATTTGTAAAGCACTTTGAAATCCTTGGATGAAAAGTGCTGCACAAGTGAAAAGTATCATTACTTTATTAAAATTAGATAACAGCAACAAGTCTTTTTATTCTTTTAAATTCCTAAATGAGCAGTATGAATAGAGCAGGTAATAAATGTATTGGTGTGTGCTACAAAAATAAATACAAGTCACATTCTTCATAGACTTGCAGGACTTCTGAAAACATTTTTAGAAATAATCTCGTCTAACTTCCATTTTGAGTCCATCCAACTCTTATCTTTACATCTCCAGAATGCAGTGCTCACTTCTTTGTGAGGCAGTTCATTTCATTAATAGGTAGGTCAAATTGTTAGGAGAGTTCTTAATCAGAAATCCTGTTCAATTAGTCTTAGAATTACACGCTGGAACCAACTAATTCTTTAACTGACTGCTTCACAGCCCTCATTTACTTAATCCTTAGGAGATGGCTTCAGATTTTTATTATGGCATTTGCCCTCTAAAATCACTTTGATCTGCAAGTGTTTACCTTAAAGGAAAGCTGAAATTAACATGATACTTATGATGTTCTGAAACCAGTAGGGACTACTGAGATCTTCTCTCTGACCTTCTATTAATGTAGGCTAACCTGTACTGATCTTAAAAATTACCAGGAGTCATAAAGTTGGCTAAGACTGAATATCTATGTGTTCAACTGGGTATGCATAGACACACAAAGAACTTGCTGAAATTTCACTTATAATCACTGTGTTGAATTTCATCTTTTTGATTTGGGTCTCTGTTTAGGGATTCCATTTCCTGAGATAAAATCCTTTATGACAAAATATTTATGAATAGGAAATAATAGTTAATAATTATCTAGTCCTTTGAATCATAAGGTAATATTGAAGGCTGGGACTGTTTATAGATATTAAGTGAAAAAACAACATGAGCTAGCTAGT